CGCCAAAATTTGATGCGAAATATATAAGCACACAAATTAAACCCTCTTTTTGACAATTGTAGTATAGATGTAAGTAGGGTATCGTTCTAGGCCGGGGATTAGGAGGGATTGCTAATCTATTCTAAATTAATTTAAAAATATTAAATAAGACTCAAGGACACAAAACTAGGCTAAAAACTCTAATAACTCGAAACACACTTAGGATAACTCAAAATAATGAAAACAATCAAATTAGACACTAGGAACTGCAATGGATGGAAATTAAATTAAAAGACTAACAATAAAGAAAACTAAATAAATAATATAATTTAATAATGGATGGGTGTTTGGTTTTGATGAAAAGTAAATTAAACTTAATTAAATTACAGAATTGACAAAAACATAAAATTAAGGTAAAATGATAAATGACGGACTAGCTAGAGGGTTCTTCTCCACACATGTTATATTTGCATACAAAATGATTTCCAGTTGTTCATTTAATAAATTTTGAATCTCAATACTCCAGATTAACCGTGAATAACACTTTTTTAATCTTCAAGTTTTCCTTAAGTTATTGAATTGGACGGGAAAACGCATACAACAATTCAAAACATTCTTCAAAAGTCCCCTACGTGAAAAGCACAATAGCGATACAATCAAAGATCATTAAACTTTGTGAAAACTATAAGCATTGACGAGGCATTCGTAACTATGAAAAGCATGATACTCTTGCCAAGAATTTACTTAACGTGATTGTGACTAGCAACCTTTACTACTTGTGAAAATAAGTTCATAACGATTAGGTGAAATTCACTTATATTCTAGCATCAAATTCATGCATGTAAATTAAGCGTGCACTCTCAACCAACATACACAAATCAGTTTTTATACGAACGGATAAGTAAATTGAAATCACAACTTATGAAATCACAACTGAAGGTAATCAATTCATATTACAAATATATTCATGGTTCGAATTAACCTCTAGCCAAAATAAATTTAATTACACATTATTAAAACAAAAATAAAATAGAAGTTTGGAAAGAGTTAACCGAGAAAATAGATTGAAGCCTTCTGCTCTCTGTGCTCTGATGCTTCTTCTGCTGTGCTTCTCATCTCCCTCCCGCTGCCTCTCACTCCTCTCTTCTCTGACTTTTCTTCTGCTGCCAAGGCAGCCTCTCCTCGCGGACTCCCCTTGCTTGCGTCTGTCTCCCTTTGCTATTCTTTGCGCCACCTGGACTCCTTCCTTTCCGCCTTCTTTCCAGCTGCCAAAGGCAGCTTTGCTGCTTCTCTCTCTGACCTCTCTTCTTCCCTCACTGCTCTCTCGCCTCTTATTCCCGTGTCTATCCCTTTGTCATTTCTTTTATTTCTTTTATTCTTCCACTAGTCCATGTCTTCCCATCAAATTCTTTCTTTTCTTTCCATTAGTCTTGCCGTGCATTTTCTTCTCCCTTCACAACATGAATCATGATGATGTTTCAAACATCATGACTCATCATTATCTCTTTTTTTTATTTAATTTAAAAGCTGATCTACACAGACAGTTTTGACGAATTTATTACATAAAACTTCACTTGTTCTATTTTTATTTTCTTTGCATAAACAAATCCTATAAACACAAAAATAACGTAAATAGCTCAAAAATATAAGAAACTAACTAAGAAAAGACGAGTGAATTTGAAGTAAAAATATATATAAATATGATCCGATCAAGGTCGGAGTTGCCTAAACATATATGTAGTCATACCATAACCCCATCATTTCAACTAATATCATAAACTCACCTGAACTTACCTGGGTGTCCTGTGTTCACCTTTGCACTTCAAAGCGCTCATAATAATTGTGTGCAGCTAATATACATATAAATAAACCACGATGAAATCTGATGCTCAACCACGTTATAGCATTTCCAATTTTATATATATATATATATATATTATGTGGCATAAAAATGCATTAACTATAACACCCTACTCCCGAGTTATTTATTTTTGAGAATAATTATTAGTGACAAGCCCAACTAGACACTAGTTTAATTAATTATCATTACTTACGCTTCCTTACTTCAAATTTTTTATTCTTTACACATTGATTTATGACCAATATTTAACCACCAAATCATAAGGTTAAATCTCATATTTTCCACCAATGTCTCTCACACTGCTCAATTCCCTAAACAAGGCTATTGTCTCCATTATTGTATGGCTGCATCTAACGTCTTGTTGGACTGCCTACGTACTCTAAACAGGGATCAAGTCATCCGTAGTTCACAATAGTACTTCAAAGCATTCACAATTATTATATGCAATAATCAATTTATAAACGTTTGTGGAATTGTTAACCATATATATAATATACGATAGAAAGGAAAAGACCCACTCACCTGAGGTCCATGATATGACTCTCTAGCATGCATATCGAGACATCACGAACCATCGTCGCATATGACCAATTATCAAATCATATCTCAGAATTCTTACCGATAAAATACACAATTCACATAAAACGCATCCCTATGTAATTCAATTCGGAAGATCTGCATCACGGATTTCCGATCCGTTACTTCCATAGATCCACATTATACTTCTAGAGCAACATCTTAAAGTCCTATTACGATCTAACGGTCGGATTTCCGCCAATTGCCAAAACCAAGTGGCGGTTAACCTTTTATTTATGAGCTTACGAATCTAATTCGAGAAGATCCATATATCGGATTCCCGATCTGTAATTTTCTATGGTCCTCAAATATTATGTACTACAACATATAAAAGTTTGGTGACGTTCCAACGGTCAAATCGTTGATTCACATCTTACCAAGTAACGTATCTTAATGAATTTAAGTCCAAACAATCAACCTACGATATACAATTGCCAAAACTGAACTCAAGACATCTAATTTAGCCTAAGGATAACATCGACGGTCCCCTGGCCACGCGCCACCGCGTGGCGGTCGGCCGCCCCAACTCGCCGGAAAATCCAACTATTTTAAAAAATTATCAAAATTTGCTGAAATGAAGATCTCAATGAGCAGAGTAAACTTTATACCTGTGACCTAGTCCAATTCGGCCTGGAAAGGCTCCAATTTGCCTCGAACCCGCCGGAGCCTCGAACGCGCCGGAAACCCTTTAAATGGGTGGCTTTGATTCGTCACCTCCGGTGCTCCGCCGCCCCTACAATTGTTTGAGCTTTGTTTCAGACCTCTAGGGGAGTCTATTGGTGATAGTAATTTGATGGAATTGTTTCAGAATTGGGGAATCGAAGACATGGACCCATTGCACCCACCGGTGCGGGTTACACTAAATCAAAGCCAATTCGCTAATATTTTAAGTTGAAATTGGAAGAAGGAGAGTCACTGAGTCGAGTGAAGGAGGTGGCGATGTCCAACTCGCCAGAAAAACGCCAGAATTGGCGTCGGTGCTTGGTATCTCGGACCGGGTCACACGGGTCAAAGAAGAGACCCTGTTTCCTTCTCTCCTTCTCCCCTTTCCTCCTTTCCCTCCTTTCCCTTCTCACTGGTTGGTCAGTTCCTCTCTTCCTCTCCTGTGATTGCGTAGCAGCCCATTTGTCTTCCCGTCCCCCATTCCCCCTTCTTCTTTCTTTTCGTCTTTTTCCACTTTTTTTATTTTTATTTTTAAAAAAAATCACTAAATGATAAATAAAATATATACATTAGAAAAATATATAAAGAGTGACCAAACCAAAAGTACTTCTCAGGTTTACAGTTTTTGTAATGTCGAGTACTTCAAGAAAATGCTAATGGATTAATTCATACACCTCGCTATACATTGGTCAACGGGAGTCAAGACCCTTGCCTCTAAGGGCATTTTCGTAAAGTCATGCTTTTAAAATTAATAAAAATATAAAATTTGGGACGGGTTGTCATAGCGGCAGTCGAGGAGTTGGGAGGAGAATAAATTTTCTTTTATTTTTAAATATTTTAAATTAGTTAAATAATTTTATAAATAAGTTTATAATAATTTATAATTTTCGTTTATAGAAATTAGATAGAAATGTCCTTAATTGGCTAACGAAGTAAACACAAGGACCAAATTGGCCAAATTGAGAACACAGAGACTAAATTGACCCAATAACTAAAACACAAGGATCATTTTAACATTTCAACACAAGGATCATTCTAATTATAAAATGTTTGGAGTATCAAATGAGATTTTTGGAGTGCTAATAACAATTCCCTTTCAAAACTTAAAAACAAAAGAGTTATCAAACGATAGCTTACATTTTGGTTAATTTTTTGGATAACTGAGGAAATTATAAACCAAGCACACATTAGTTTCTAGAAGAAAATATGGTGGTAGATATTCAAGTAAATCTGGGATATGCTCAAGATCGTTCATACGATCTACCATCATATTTTCTTCAAGAAAATTATGTGAATTTAAATTTCTATCATCACTTTATCTATTGGTTTGAAGATTGGATAATCCGAGAAAAATTACATTTTAGTAGACCAGGCGCTGTATCGCTGACGTTTTTCTTGAAATTTTTATTGGTCTGATAAACTGGAAGATCACATGTTGACATCGTGAAATGTACCTAAAATAAACAATTGCTCTTTCTGTAGCGCAAACCCTATGTTAGCTGGCTCTATTCTTCTATCATCTAGATGCGAACTGTATCTTTCCCTAACCCGCCACCAAGAGTAAAAATGCAGGATGGACCAGAACGCAAAAGCAACTAAAATAAATAAAACAAGAGATAAACTCAATAGATGATAAGTGATAAAGGAACACGATAATAAACTCATTACTCGGTGAAAGTATTTCTGAAATCAAGCACATGCAGTATTCACGGATTGCACTTATGCAGTCACGGATTGTTTATTGAAGTTTGCACAGGACCAACAATCCAAAGTCTTCAATTTATTTTCATACCTATCTTGTAGTTTTTTCACAACTTATTGCTCCACGTTTAAATATAGTAATATGTGTATATATTATCTTATGTGTCGTAGAAATCGTGAGTCACGGGTCATCGATTCACCTATAAATAACCCATTAAAACCCAAGCAGCACTTAACCTAGCAAAGCTCGTATTATGAGTTCCAAGGTCATTGCAATGTTCTTCATTTTCTTGATTTGCATGGTAATTGCATTGCCTCCAATTCAAGCTTGTACACCTTGTACTCAACCACATCCATCAAAACCACACCCTCCACATCATCCATCACATCCAACACAACCACCTTACCACCATCCCAAAAATCCTCCACACCCAAACCCACCAACCACAAAACATCCACCACAACATAAACCCCACCCACCATCCAAGAACCCACCAGTAGTTATATCCCCACCCGTAATAACGCCTCCAGTTACTCACCCTCCTGTGACAATCCCACCCCCTTCCTCTCACTACCCACCTTACATTGGCAGCCCTCCTGGTGGTGGCGGCGGTGGAGGAGGTGGTGGTGGAGGAGGTGGCGGTGGTAGTGGTGGTGGTGGAGGCGGAGGTGGTGGTGGTGGTTGCGGTGGTTGCCCAGGGGGCGGAGGAAGTAGCCCGGGTGGGGGAGGAAGTGTTCCAGGGTTTAACCCTCCGCCGGCTACATCACCAGCTACATGTCCTATAGATGCGCTGAAGCTGGGGCTTTGTGTGGATGTCCTTGGTGGTTTGGTGCATATTGGGTTGGGGAACCCGGTTGAGAATGCTTGCTGTCCAGTGCTTGGAGGGTTACTTGAGCTTGAAGCCGCCATTTGCCTTTGCACTACTATAAGGCTTAAGCTGCTTAACCTGAACATATTTATTCCTCTAGCTCTTCAAGCTTTAATTACTTGTGGGAAGACTCCTCCTCCTGGTTTTGTATGCCCTCCTCTCTAATAAGTTCATTTGTACTTTGTTGTTAACGCGGGGTTAACATCTCAAGCGAGCTAGGTTAATTAGAATATGAGTTGGTTCGTTGACTGCAGCTAATATTATGGATATTATTGTGTTCATGTGACCTGAAATTTTTGGTTTTGACAGAACTTTTTTTGTGCTATCAATTACTTACTAACTTTCAAATGGTATCAAATTAAGTTTACAAAAAAATTAAAAAAACAATAGTATCAAATCGACTTTGAGAGCCGCGCAAGTTGAAGGATGGAAGTCCTGTATTTTTAAACGATCTTGAATCTCTCCAAAACCGACTGTAAGTTGGTTATTGATTTTAGATTGGGTGATTAACGTTGTCTTATGGAAAGAGAAATTATTAGTTTTTTTTTTCTTTAAAGAAATTATGGGTTTTCTTTTGTGTAGGATTCAGCCAGTATTATTTCACAAAGAAATAGTTGGTCAAACGACTTATGGCATGAATTTAACAAAAACTAATAATGATTATCATAAATTTTTTAGTGTGCACTACACAAAAAAAAACCAAAAAACAAAAAAAAACAAAAAGCCAAAAAAAATACTAAGCCAAATGGAGTAAATTCGTCGGCTAAAAGCTTCATTCGTCGTTGCAAATTTTAGGCACCGGAAATTCGCCAAGAAAGAAGAGTCGGGCAAAACATGTCTCTCGAAACTTTAAACAACAAACACACAAATCCGTCGATCAAATTTTAGTTCACCCTATGAGTAAGTTGGTCGAGCTAACATGCATTGACGAAATTGACCAGTCGGAGTCCACTTGCCCGACAAATGATATCTCGTCGGCTAGCACATAACTAAATAATGTAATGAGCTTGATCCGAGAACCAAATTGTTGGGTAAACTCTCTAAGAAACTGAATTTAAAAATATTTTTTTTGCACGACAAAAGGCTATTGAGTTGGCATTTCAAAAAAAAAAAAAAAAAACTGTTTATATCAAATCATTTATTTAATTCTAATTTATAAAAAATTTATAATCAAAATAAAAAAATAATATTTACAACCAAAATAAAATTGTTTGTGCGATTATATTATAAAAACTAAAAAAAAAAAAAATGTAGACTACTGAGGTGGTTGCTGGGGTAGATGCAAAAGCTCAGCTTGGGGCTCAAGGATTTTGATGCCAGAAGCTGATAAGGACTGGGCTATATATACATGCGCACTAACTCCTATTCTTTTGCAACGGCTTGTGCCAAGTGCGCCACCTGTTCTTGTAGGCGCTCACTTTCTTCCTTTGGCACACTAACTCCATCTCCATCTCCCAAGTTCCCGAACCCGACTTGCTCTTAGGCCGCGAATTTCCTTTCCTTTGCGTCGCCCAAATACATCCATCAACAACTAAAGAGACACCTCTGGATCAAGTGTCAATTCCTCCATAGGTATGTTCGGTTGTTGCTGGGAGAGGTTGGTGAGGTATTTGTCCTTCTTAATCATAGAAGCCTAAAAAAAAAAAACAAGGGAAACTAATTAAGATTATTGATCATATTGTAAACCTTATTTATTGTATTGAAATTTACAATTAAAACATAGAAATGAATACTTACATAAAATTCCGTTCTCAACCTCTTTGCCTCAATTGCCATGTGTCTCCCCCGAAACCTTCACCTTTGGAAAATGCTCCTTAGCCAACCACCGTTCAGATAGAGGTTGAGAACAGGAGTGGTGAAGGTATAGCTTCTTCTCCCAGTTACCTTTATTTACCGCCGATTTGTTCTTTCCATTAAAAATATTAATCACACTTAACTAAAAAAAATATAAGCCACTTAGTACCATGGTCTAGTGGTATTTCTCTTCACCTGTATGTGAGAGGTCTTAGGTTCGATTCTCGCCAAAGACGGGTTTGAACCACATTATTGCTAGCCTATTATGAGGCTATGCTCATCGCCCACTCCTTTAGTGTAGATAATATCATTTTTTTCAATATATATATAAATTAAACTAAACTTTAACATATAAATAAATTTTAATTACTAGACCCTATCCACAATCTCCTACGACGAATTTGTAGAAGTTGCCTCAGGTGACGTATAACTTTGGTAGTTGTCACATCCCAACCCAGGCCCCTACAACATACAGGGCTGGACTCCACTGTAGGACGATATTGTTCGCTTTGGGCCCCAACCATGGCTTCACGGTTTTGTTTCTGGGAACTCACACGAGAACTTCCCAGTGGGTCACCCATCATGGGATTGCTCTCGAGTGAACTCGATTAACTTCGGAGTCCTATGGAACCAAAAGCCAATGAGCTCCTAAAAGGCTTCGTACTATATGGAGGTGGGCATATGTACATATAAGGCTTAAAGGATCCACTCCCTTGGGCGATGTGGGATGTGACAATCCATCCCCCTTAGGGGCGTGATGTCCTCATCGGTATGCTCGCACCACACGGCAGAGTGGCTCTGATATAAAATTGTCACATCCCAGCCTGGGCCTCTACCACATCCTGGGCTCGACTCCATCGTAGCACGATATTGTTCGCTTTGGGCCCCGACCATGCCCTCACGGTTTTGTTTCTAAGAACTCACATGACAACTTCCCAGTGGGTCACCCATCATGGGATTGCTCTCATGCGAACGCGCTTACCTTCGGAGTTCCGATGAAACCTGAAACTAGTGAGCTCCTAAAAGGCCTCGTGCTATATGGAGGTAGGCATATGTACATATAAGGCTTATAGGATCCACTCTCTTGGGCGATGTGGGATGTGACAATCCATCCCCTTTAGGGGCGCGACATCCTCGTTGGCATACTCGCACCACACAGCAGAGTGGCTCTGATACCAAATTGTCATATCCTAGCCTAGGCCCCCACCATATCCTGGGCTCGACTCCACCGTAGAACGATATTGTCTGCTTTGGGCCTCAACCACGCCCTCATGATTTTGTTTTTGGGAACTCACACGAGAACTTTCCAGTGGGTCACCCATTATGGGATTGCTCTCACGTGAACGCACTTTGGAGTTCCGATGGAACCCAAAGCTAGTGAGCTCCTAAAAGGCCTCGTGCTATATGAAGGTGGGCATATGTACATATAAGGCTTACAGGATCCACTCCCCTGGGCGATGTGGGATGTGACAATCCATCCCCTTTAGGGGCGCGACGTCCTCGTCAGCACACTCGTACCACACGGCAGAGTGGCTCTGATACTAAATTGTCATATCCCAGCTTGGGCCCCCACCACATCCTAGGTTCAACTCCACCGTAGCACGATATTGTCTGCTTTTGGCCCCGACCACGCCCTCACGGTTTTGTTTCTGGGAACTCACACGAGAACTTCCCAGTGGGTCACCCATCATGGGATTGCTCTCACACGAATGCGCTTAACTTCGGAGTTCCGATGGAACCCGAAGCCAATGAGCTCCTAAAAGGCCTCGTGCTATATGGAAGTGGGCATATGTACATATACGGCTTATAGGATCCATTCCCCTGGGTGATGTGGGATGTGACAGTAGTACTTGTGAAGCTTGTACCTTCGCTTTTTATACCGAATGCTCCACACCTAGTCTATGTAAGCGATACAAGCTTGTCTCAATCGTCCCACTCGAAGTTACCTTGAAATTTCCTAAAAAACCAAATAGATTAGTTTAAAATCACATACAATAAGTAAAGGAATTTTTTTTTTAATAAATTAAGAAAGTTATGTACACTTACCGAAAAATGTCGGCTCATTTTGGCACGAACTGGGGGGTTGTGCATCTTCTAGGAATCGGTGACCATGTAACATTTGGTGCGGTTGATGGCACCAATATCGTAAGTCAACAAACTATTGACTTTGACACTTGCTCGGCGATGCCTGGGGAGGTACAACTAGTATCCGCTTATGTGTGACCCTAGTGATTTGGTTGCTCGCCAACCCCCTACAAATATTTGGAGTTTTTTAGTCCTCGGGTAGGTGAGGAGGTTTCCATCCTCCCCCTCCTCCACAACCGCTGAATTGGTCTTTATGATGTCTCAATAAGGGTGGGATGGGATGGGGTGGGGGCTGCCACAGGCTGGTGGCGACTGTGGAGCCGCATGGCAAATCAGATGACCTAGGTAGATAATGCAAACATACTCACACCGGTGACTGACTCGGCAGTGGCTGCTTGGTCTTGTTGGTTGCTAGAGTGGAATCTGAGCAGAGGTGAAGGTAGAGCAGCAACCATTCGTGATCAGGAGCAAAGATATATGTGAAAAAAAAACCACATGATTAACAAAATTTTGCTAAAATTTCAAAGAATTTCTAACATTTTCTGAAATTCCAATAACTTCCAAAATTTCCTAAATTTTAAAATGCCACATAATTTCTAATGTGCTTCAAAAGTTTCACATATTTCTAAAATTTAAAATATTTCTAAAATTTCCTAAAACTTCAAACAATTTAAATAATTTCATAACATTTCATAAAATTTCTAAACAATTTCTAAAATTTCACATATTTCTAAATTTCAAATAAATTCTAAAATTTCCTAAAATTTCTAAAACTTTAATTAATTTCTAATGTGTTTCAAAAGTTCCACACATTTCTAAAATTTCAAATAATTTTAGAAATTACCTAAAATTTCAAACAATTTCTAAATTGCCTAACATTTCAAATTTCTACAAAAGTCACAAATACATATTTTAAACATTAATTAATCCATTTAAAATTTCAGTCTCCTTCTCCACCCCATGGCCCCCTCCATCCTAAATCACCACCAACACCATATCCATCACCTAAACCCCTACCCCATGCACCACACCCCACCCTACCAACCCCATACCAAGCCTCCCACCCACCCCACCTCCAGCACCAGCACCACCGTACAAACCCCAACACCACCGTGCTCACTTACCACACCAATGACAACATAATTCCCACAAAATTTCAACATAATCCTAACAATTTCACAATATTCACAACCATAACAATTTCAAAACAAAAATTAAATTTAACGATTTCACAATAAAAATAAAAAAAATTGGAAAAAGTGACAGAGAAATGGACTTACAGTGATGGGTCGAGAGAGACTGACATTGGAGAGATAAGGGTTGAGGGTTGAGAGAGAGGTTTGAGAGACGAGGATTGAGAGAGAGACAGTAATTTGAGAGAGAGAGTGTATGTGTGTGTGCTTCAGC